GAATTTCAGTGAATCTCCATAAACAAACTGCGGGAACACGAAATAATTTAACACGCTGAAAATATGGGGAACTTGCTGTAAGCTTTAAGAACCTCAAAGCGGTTCTTTTAGCATCTGAAAATTTTCGGGAACTTTTATGAAGTTCCTAGACTTTCAGGTGTCAAGTCAACTTGAGTAATATAGAAAGGGCCTGTTCATAAACTACGTAGACAGTTTTTTGGGATTCTGGACCCCCCCCCCTCCCCCTGCGTAGACAATTGTCCATACAATTTTTTAAAATTTGTATGGGCCGTGGATAATTGTTAACCACCCCCTAAACTGTCTACGTAGTTCATGGACAGTAAGTTATAAGTACTTCAGAAAAGCTAGATCTATAGATTTCTGGGGGATTTCAGATCTTAAGAGCAGTTTCCGTAGCCTTAGCCCAGACTTTTGGAGGAGTTTAAAGATCTTGAATCGTAAATTTAGAGAAATTCAGGATAGTTCCATGATGTGTTGAAAAAATCGAGAACCCTTAAGAGGTTCCGAGAATTTTAGGGAAATTTAAAGGTGTTTACGGGAATTCCATTTATTTCCGAGCAGAACCGAATAGATATAATTGAATAGAATTGAGAGCTTTAGGGAAGCTTCGAGAACATCCAGACAGATTGGAGAATCAAAGGGCAGTTCAAATAATTTCAAGGAAATTGAAGATTAAAGATTTCCGAAAACATCCGGAAAACGTGAGAGTACTTTAAGCGTGTTATACCATAGAGGTAACTCTAAGATCAGAAGGTCCGGAAGAAACGAGTTCAACTTTTTGGCTCAGTCTCGGTCCCAAGCTAATCGATGCACCCCTCTAAACATAGGAAAATCCACGAACCCCTTATTTTATCTGTCAAACTTTCATAGCGAATCAAAACAAACACAGTGTAGTACTGGAATGTATACTAGAATGGGGTATGTTAATCGATTTGCTCGAATAGGCAAGTCAAGTAGTGAGCCAATTTAAAATCGTTAGTTTCCACTGGTTGGTTATACTATGGAGATTTCAAAAACTTAAAAAATTGCGAAAATTTAGCTAAATTGATTAGAGAAAATCAACGAAGTTCCATTAATTAAAAAAAGGCGAGAACTTTTAGCAATCAGTTATATCTTCAATAAATTCCATTATAAATTTAGATACTTTTAGATAGTTTCATGATATTCAGCGAAGTTCCGAGTACTTCAAGGACGATCATGACGGAGAGCTTGGGATTAAACCCACGATTTTCTGCTCAGTAAGCAAAAACGATCCCTCCAGGGTCATCGAGCATCTCAGAACCATAACGCTTTGCGACAATACAGGGCTACGTTTTCGCTTGTTATGCAAATAGTTTCCGAGGCTAATGTTTAATATCAAATATACAAATGATGGTGGCGATTTATTGTGCTGTGGAAGAGCTTGGAGTTAAGTCCATGATTTTCTGCTCAGTAAGCAAAATCGATCCCTCGAGGGTCATCGAGCATCTCATAATCCACAACGCTTCGCGTCAAAGTACGAATATATGGATGAACTATCTATTATTGAATAACTATTATTTACGATAATTACATGAAAGAAATAAAACATAAACTACAAACAAAACGTGACAACTAAAATCTCAAAAAGATATTCTCACAAATATATTTCGCGCAACTAGGAATCTCAAAACAATTAGACGCTATAATGATACTCTGCACTTGTTAGACACAAGAAGAGGCCAAAAAGCAAGCGTCCGACACACAAAACCCGCCAGATCCACTTGCAGTCCCAATCAACGATTCTACGAATCGCGAGCGCTCACGAATCATAAAACCGTTGACTGCGACACTCTGAAAGCGAAAATGACAGGCTCCATTACAACATCTAACGAATTCAAAACTCCGAAAATCACTCATCTATAGCTAGTGAGTGAAAGCAACCTTGTATGCAACCATTCTTCATGATACACTATTTCTGTCTATCTTTTTATTAGGCCTGTGGACATGCGTTAGCTTCGAAACTTCTAACCAAATTGGGAAATTTTCAAATCAGAAAAAAAAAACTTGAAAAAAAAATTTTTTCAAAGGTAACTACAAGTAAAATAAATATTGATTATTTTACGCACAAACGAGCAAGTAATATTAAATCTCTTGTATCGTATGCTAATGCTAATTGACTGTAACAACAATAATATGCTTAAATAAAATAAAATATTAATAAAATTATATGCAAAATTAACTAGAAGATCATTACTTTATTGGTGAGAAGTTTCTAATAAGCCCTCCCAGTTCCTCTGTATACAGAACAAATCTGATACTATAATCAGAATTGCTCAGTCTGCATGAAGCAGCCGATTTCATCAAGGAAGTTCTATTAACAACCAAGAATTAATCGTTTGAGGCATACTGAAGCATTAAGAAGGTGATATGTGTCACTAAAGGGTGTCCACGATGAAATTGCCACACTATGAAATTGCTCTAACTATTTAACCGTTGGGTAGAATTTAATGAAAATTTGGGTGGATTTAGTTCATAGTGCATTATTTACATCCTGCAAGTTTTAAAGTCCTGTGATCAAAACTCGCGGAAATGGAGTCGAAAGAACAGCTCGTGCGTGATAAAATCTTGCGCATTCATCACGAGAACAAGGATCTCTCGCATCGTTCCATCGCTAAAACGTTGGGAATCGCGAATTCCACGGTGTCGCGAGTGATTAAGCGGTTCGAGGAACGGTTGACCACCGATCGGAAGCCCAGAAGTGAAGGAAAAAGTATTCCGTACAACACCAAAAATCACAACCGCGTAGTTGGGGCCTTCAACCGAAATCCGAACGCCTCCGTTAAGGATGTGGCTAAGAAGCTGCACCTAAGCCGAAGTTTTGTCCAGAAGGCCAAAACTAAGGCTGGGCTTCGAACGTTCAAGGTACAAAAGGCCCCTAATCGCGACGAGAAGCAGAACAAGTCCGCCAAAACCCGTGCCAGGAAGTTGTACCTCAACATGCTGACGAAAGTTGAATGCTGCATCATGGACGACGAAACATATGTGAAGGCCGACTTCAAACAGATCCCCGGCAACCTGTTTTTCACGGCCAAGGATAAGTTCAGCGTCCCGGAGCATGTCCGCACTCAGAAGATGTCCAAATTTGCGAAGAAATTCCTGGTTTGGCAAGCCATCTGCACGTGCGGGAAGCGGAGTGCACCTTTCGTGACCCAGGACACGATGAACGGACAGGTGTACATAAAAGAGTGCCTCCAGAAGCGGCTGCTTCCTCTCCTGAAGGCCCACAACGTCCCAACAATCTTCTGGCCGGATTTGGCCTCATGCCACTACTCCAAGGACGTGCTGAAGTGGTATGCGGACAATAAGGTCAATTTCGTGCCGAAAATGTTCAACCCTCCCAACACTCCGGAGCTCCGCCCCATCGAGAAGTACTGGGCGATTATGAAGCAGCACCTTCCTAAACGACCTAAGGTAGTGAAGACAGTCGAGGAACTGAAGAAAGTATGGGTTTACATGCAAAAAACGGTTGATTCACAGGTTGTGCAGAATCTTATGGCCGGGGTTAAGGCCAAGGTGCGGGCATTTGCGTATGGACTGTAAATAAAATACGAGTAAAATGGTAAAATGAAGTTTAATAGTTATTTCTCAATCCCTGAAAATTTGATGGCAATCGGATGAAAACTCGAATTTTGCGAATCAATTTTGTGTGTGGCAATTTCATCGTGGACACCCTTTATAGGAAATCATCATCGGTGCAAATATAAAGAAATTAAACATAACCCTTTGCTTCAGTACCGTCAACCTCCATGTCCATGGGGAGGGCAACCTGTCAGTAATTTTAACAATTTAACGGAAACTAAAAACCACGATAATCTAAAAATTCCTCGAAACAAAGACGCTAGCACATACAACATACAGACGTATATGTAAGCTTGTAGGTATGCGTGGAACATAAGTTTACTCTTCTCCGCCAGATGGTCAGTCGTTGATGGTGTGCTGATTCTTCTAAGGAAGTAATTTTTTCTGAAATCGACTTGAATTTTTCATCCTACTTCGTCTATTCTATGAGATTTCCTTGTCATAAAATTGGCATTTATTAATTATGAGGAACCATCTTTTAAGCTCAATTTGTAAACAGAGTAATTGGGGAGTTAATGATGCACTTTAAAAAGCCTAAAAAGCAACAATAAATGCTTTTTGCTCTAATGCAAAACCAAATGATTTTATGGTTGCTTTTATAATGATAGAACACGTTTATAAAGTATTTTATCAAGACATTAATAAACAATTGCTAATGACGTTTATGCTTGAATTACAGAACAGTTTTAAGGAGGGATTGATAACTGTTTTAAATTTATTTTTAAAACAAGACAGTTTTTGACTTTCTTGCAAGACTATAAAAGGTTTTTACAACAACAAAAAGCTGAATTACTAAGCAGGAATGTTTTACACTTTGAAATGCTATATTTAAACTAATTGGATTGTTCATTGTCGTTATAAAACCATCATAAATCAGAGTGGATGCTAAATGGTTACTGGATTGTTACTTGGGAAGTAATCCCAATCAAAGTCCCAGGTTTGGTGAAAATTGAGCAAAATTTGAATTTTTATGCAAGGAAATGAACTTTAACTATTTTTCTGTTTGTTTGTATTACTTCTGCGTGAAGTTAACGATTTACATAGTTGAAGATGCTAATCGTCAGATAACAGACTTAAATTGATCATTTTATACTATAGATGAAGAGATGAAAGTATAGAGTTGATAGTTCCGTTAGAGTACGGCAGTGTGAAAATTGTATATTGGGAGTAGAAAGCGAGCAAGAACAACTTTAAGGAAGGTACGAATCGGGTTAATCATCTCTCTTTACCAGTTGGGGAGAGGAATGGTGAGGAGTATCTGGGGGAACTGATTATTTACTGCACCTCAGTGGAATGAAAATAACATATTTTAAATAAAATATATCTTTTTGAAACATTGTACTAATTTTATTATATTACATTTATCGTAAAGCAAACAGGTACACGCATTAATTTGGTTTGGCACTTTTGCGATTGTCCTTCATCCCATTACTTTCCATAAGATAAGTCAACAATCTCTATTGGATCGAACCCAACACCATAAACTCAAACCTGACTAGTTTTCTGTGGTTTGAATGTGTAATCTTCTGCGTACTCAACGCCGATCTGCTTTCGAATGGTGTCCTGCACACGGGCCACATTCAAGCTATCCTCGTGGGAAACAATCTGTGACTCCAGCTCGCCGGCCAGAATACGCTTCCTGCACTCGTCCGCTTCGTACCGCAACCCGACGCTATTCTTCAGAATGCATTCTATTTTGGACTGTGGCAGGGGATACGATCGCTCCGTTCCATCGATGTCGGTTAGCTCGGTTGGGCACCAGAAATCGTACAGCTGAAAAATATTTCATTAAAAATGATTACCTCTGATATCATTTGATGCAAAATTCAAAATCCTACAGTGATTGTCCCTTTGGTACCAGTGATGACCGCCGTGTTAGACAGCTGCTTTACACCGTTGGCCTTCATTGTGGCAACTCCTCCACCAGGGAAGCGAAGCTTTACATTCGTTTCAATGTCAACATTTTCCTCGTTCGATTTTCCTTCGGCTACGATCTCGCCCGGGAATTCCTGGAACACCCACAATGCAAGCTGGATGTTGTACACTCCCAAATCCAAAACCGTTCCGCCGCCGAGGTGCCTCATACGGATACGGTCCACTTTAGTAATGGGTAGTCCCAGCTCTACTTTGACTTCCTTTATGTCGCCGAGATTCTTCTGCCTGATCCGATCCCGCAGATGGTTATAAGCCGGGAAGAACCGCGACCAGATTGCTTCCATGCAAAACAGTTTCTTCGCACGAGCATAGTCCAGCAAGGCTTTCGATTGGCCTTCGTTCACGCATAGGGGCTTCTCGCAGAGAATATGCTTACCGGCATCGAGCATCATCATGGCCACTTCGTAGTGGACCGTGTTGACCGTACCGATGTAGACGATATCTGCAGATAAACGGTTATTAGTAATTATGAAGACGCATGGTACAACAATAACTATCTTACCAACTTTCGGGTCCTTAGCGAGTGCTTCGCAGCCGACGTAAAATGCCGGAATTCCGTGTGATTCAGCAAATGTTTGCACGTGTTCCAATCCTCTAGCTGCCACGGCAACGACCTTATGATCCGTGTCCGGTAGTGTCGAGACGGCACACACGAAATCATGTGCGATCGTTCCAGCAGTGACGATTCCCCAGCGAAGTGGCGACATTGTTTTTCCCTCAATTATTTTTTTCTCGTATTACGTTGCAATTATCTTAACTCGTTAACACTTTCACTGCCCGCGATCGATGGCAACGAAACTACACTCGGTCAGATCTAGATCACAATTAGAATATCAACACGACACTATCTGCTCCGTTCGGCTTGTGCTGATCTGCGGACACGACGAATGCGGTTTTATTTATTTCCACCCGCGCACTTTCACATGTGGGACGGCAACAACAAAAACTAACTCGTTGTTCTTCAGTCCGGCCTACATGGTGGTGACAACGACATCGGATGACAACGAAGCGTTGTTTCCGAACCTTTTGAATCGAGTGAGTGATCTGATGCGATGGTAACGGACAGCCGAAGGTAGAATGTTCTGTTGCTCATGGTCGAGGGATGCTGCGCTTTGCCTCGCTAGTTCATTTTGATTCATGTGGGATTGTTTGCAGTTTCCTTGCAACACAGTTATTGAGGGGACTGAACTGTTGTTGCACGGAGTTAGTTGGCTGGCTTGAGAACTATATTTTTCTGACTTTGGTAAACTAACTTTTGAAAATAACTATGTGAGAGATCAAGTAGGGCAGTTCTTTCAATTATAATGATGAGTTGAATTACTATAGGGTAATTTGCCAATTGTTGCACACCACCATAATTGTTGAACACCACCCAATTGTTGTACACTTCACATTGTTTACTGTGCAGCATTTATCTATGACCATAAAGTTTACTAATCATGGTGACATGCTAATCAGTGATCAATTGTTGAATGATTAAACATGTGTTTTAGATATTCAGTAAATGTTGTGATAAAACATGTTCTAAGTATTTTTGATATTGTGCTTATAATTTTAGGCGATTTCTTAGTTTTTTCAGCTAATAATCATCAGTTCTAAAATAAGCTATTACTAGCTCACAATGCAATTAAATTAATTAATCTGTGCACGAAGATGTTGGTTTTCATTTTATCAATCGATGAATTGCAATACATCTATCAAATTTTCATAAAAAGTAATTATGTACAATAATTGGAGCACATTTGGACTCTTGGTCCTGGATAATTGTCTACATGGATAACGCCTAAGGGTATGCAACGTTTCACATAAAACAGAGGCTGCGTATATTTTGCTTCTATTGTTGACTAGTTCAATAAAATAAATAAAATAGCTTATATCTTAAGTACACTATACCACTAGCGTGCACAGGAATCTTGTTAAGGAGGGGCAATTGCATTTAATCCGAGTATGGGGAGTACTCCAAAGTGCGTGGTGAATGTCGCTGTCCACCCACCACTGTTTCCCTACTGTTCTATTTAGCTAATTTTATTTATTTATTTTTTGCTCCAGTGGTGGTTCATCTTCTTCAATACAGCGGCGCCGGTGGTGTAGTGGCAAGCATGATTACCTCTCACCCCAGCAGGCCTGGTTTCAATCCCAGTCGGCGCCACCGGGATGTTCTGAGGCATAATATCTCTGATCACGCCTTCCCGCAGGGAAGTAAAACCGTTGGTCCCCGGTTCATGAGTTGATGGGTCGATAGGTAGGGTCCAGGTGTTAGAGCTGCCTCCCTGGCGTCGGTAGCTTTGGTGCTCAGCACGGAAAACAAATCAAGAAAAAACTACAAGGGACAGCCCTATGGGGTTGTACGCAATGGTGACGTTGGACTACGTGATCTTATATAATAAATCTTATTTGTTAACTGCAGCAGGTTCTCATGATGTGTAGGAATAGGAATTTGAGCGATGTTCTCTCTGTTTATACTCTTTAGTATGACGCGCTTGACATAGATGGCCCACAGCGACTCACGAAGAGCTACTGATTACGATCAATAGCGGTGCGGCTTCTTCCTCCTTCTATGGATACTCATGTGGGCTGCAGTTCGCTGCTTGCAGGCAGCCTTTCATTGAGTACTGTAGAACATCAGCACTCAGTAATTGAATAAACACCGTTTGGTGAGACCGGATGGAATTCAACTTTGAAATCTGTGTTACGTTATCACTTTTCGCAGGCAATAGGTGATAATATTAATTATTATAGCAACAGTTGCTCATTCATGCAATATTCAATAGCAAAATTTTGAAAAAAAAATGATAAAGTCTTAAAAAAAAAGTCTTAAACAGAAGCGTACAAATATTTCTGAACGATTGTTGATAAAAATTTGGAAATTGGTTCAGGGCCAGCTAAGTTATTAACGTTCAAAATCTTTCATAATTTTGTTACATATTCCATTTTCGGTTTTCACAAAGTGTATCCCCATCAAGGGGTTGGTCACTCTACAGAGTGTGCCAAAATCAAACTTGGACAGACCCGGGTTGGCGTCATTGGCGTTGTTTGGCACCCATGGTTACAATTTTTATGATCTTTAAAGTTACTGGCAACACTGAACTTTTCCTGCGCCTGCCAAGGGGGGCGACACATCTAAATCTCAAGTTTAGATGCTCAACAAATCTCACACTAGCGAATCAATCTTCGAAAAATCTTCTTTCATTTGTCGCATCTATGTACTTGCGTCGCGCATCATCTTTTTGCAGGAAACCTTTAGAATCGTCATCAATCTTTTTTCTATCTACTCAGCGTGCGCGCAGCTAGCCACAGCAAAACACAATCTTTTCTGCATCGTCGATAGAGTCGTCCCCCTCGGCGCCTGCGCAGTGTGCATGTGTCAAAATTTGTTACTGGTGTTGCCACTCCTAGTCAAATTATTTTCAAAACAACCGTGAATCTCCACCAAGTCTCGCCATGGATTCTCAAAATCGTTATACCCATGATGGCAGTCACATCTACATTTTGCCGGCGCCGGTGGTGTTGTGGTAAGCGTGACTGCTTTCTAACACCCCAATGGGTCTGAGTTCAATCCCAGCCGAGGTCGGTGGGATTTTTCTGAGGCATAAAAATCTCTGGTCACGTCTTCCTTCGGAAGGGAAGTAAAGCCGTTGGTCCCGGCCCATGTGTGTTGTGAATGGGTGCGATATCCTACGCAGGTGTGGAAGCTGCCTTCCTGCACATTCGATTGCCGTCAATGGATGGCAATCGATTTCCGTCGGTGATTGGCACTAGATTGCGGAACAGAGACCGACGTTAAATAAAGGAAATAATAAGAAGAAGAAGACATCTACATTTCCTCCCAGACGAAGAACAGCTAATAGTACGTTCAGACTACAGAGTTATAACATAGAGGTAACTCTAAGACCAGAAGGTCCCGAAGTAACGTGCTCAACTTTTTGGCTCAGCTCTGGTACTATCAACAATCAATACGAAACTAACGATTTTAAATTGGCTCACCACTTTAGTAGCCTATTGGTCCCAAGCAAACGATTAACGTACCCTATTCTAGTTGAAATTCTATTACTACACTATGTTTGTTTTGATTCGCTATGAAAGTTTGACAGATAACATCAGGGGTGTGTGGATTCATGCAGAACATGCAGGGGTGAGTGAAATAGCTTGGGACTGCTTGGGACCGTTGTTCTGGTACTGAGTGAGCCAAAAATAATAATGATTTTCTTCGGGACCCAGTGGTCTTAGAGTTACCTCTATGTTATAACTCTCCAGTCTGGACAGCGTTTAACAGCGGTATCTTGACTTGACCGAGGTTTCCGGCCATGGCTACACGAACTTGCGATGCAGCTCCCACGGCTGCGGCTGGATCGTTTTTTTTACGAATTTTAGAGGAGACGGACCAGCAGAAGGAACAACAGCAGCAGCATTGGAAGCAGCCGCAACCGTGGGAGCTGCATCGCTAATTCGTGTAGCCGTGGCCGACGCTGGAAATCTTGGGCCGGTCACGGCAAGTGGTTTTAATCGGAAAGTCAACAAGTTTTAATCGGAAAGTCAACAACCAAACAAAAACTATACCTTCCGACCATTCGAACTGCTCGAATACATCCATGGCGGTGACTGCATCACCAACCATTCCATTGTCCTGCATATAATGTTGGAGGACCGTCTTGGCAAAATCTCAAATAGTTCAACAAATTATTTTTACTCTCCTGCCTTTTTGCACTTCCAACCAGGGCTCTACAATTTCGAAGCTCTAAAATGAACTCGTGTTTTGTTTCTCTCATACATACGTGTTCGACGCTTTTTTTTTTTTTTTTTTTTTTAACTCTTTATTTGTTCCAAATTCAAAATAAATTACATTTCATTTTAACCTAGGTGCTCCAGTTACTGCAGTAACGTACCAGCCTTAATTGTTATGATATATATCTAAGTGTTTTTACATTGTTCATGTCTTGGCAATTCAGTATTTTAAACAGGTTTTATAACCTGCATGTCAGTATAACAATTGATATCTTAAAACTAAAAACTAAAACTAAATCTTATCTAAGTATAAAGGGAATTAATCGTTGCAATTGAGGATTGCAACGATTTTTGCCTGAAATTATTAATTATTTTGTTGGACATTTGTGCTAAAGTCTCAACATTCGAAATTCTATGTACTTCGGTTGTACTGTACCAGGGAGGCAACTTCAAAATCATTTTCAGAATTTTGTTCTGAATCCTTTGAAGTGCTTTTTTCCTGGTAGTGCAACAACAAGACCATATTGGCACAGCGTAAAGCATGGCCGGTCTAAAAACTTGTTTAAATATTAGAAGTTTATTCGTTAGGCAAAGTTTGGATTTCCTGTTTATAAGAGGATACAAACATTTTATATATTTGTTACATTTGGCTTGAATGCCCTCAATGTGATCTTTAAAAGTTAATTTTTGGTCAAGTATTAATCCAAGATATTTCACTTGGTTTGACCAGGAAATTGGAACTCCGTTCATAGTGACTATGTGACTACTACTAGGTTTCAAAAACGAAGCTCTAGGCTTATGTGGAAATATTATAAGTTGAGTTTTGGAAGCGTTGGGAGAAATCTTCCATTTTTGTAAATAAGAAGAGAAAATATCTAAACTTTTCTGCAGTCTGCTGCAAATAACACGAAGACTTCTTCCTTTAGCGGAAATGCCTGTGTCATCAGCGAACAAAGATTTGTGGCAACCCTGAGGCAAATCAGGGAGGTCCGAAGTGAAAATGTTATACAATATAGGCCCAAGAATACTACCCTGAGGAACTCCTGCCCTAACAGGTAGTCGATTAGATTTGGAATTTTGATAATTTACTTGAAGAGTTCTGTCAGTTAAATAATTTTGAACTAATTTCATAATATAAAGTGGAAAATTAAACTTTTTCAATTTAGCAATCAAACCTTCATGCCAAACACTGTCGAATGCTTTTTCTATGTCTAGAAGAGCAACTCCAGTTGAGTGGCCTTCAGATTTGTTTGAACGAATTAAATTGTTAACTCTTAAGAGTTGATGAGT